GGATCCAGCCGAAACTAGTTGGGTCCACGTCGGCGCGCTGTCATGTCTTTTTCTTTTTTTTCGCTATGTTCTTTTCTCAAATCTTTCATCATCTCTCCCCCACCTCCGCCCGTGTCATCCATAGTCATGTTCTTCGCTCAATTTGGCCATAGTCATCAAAGTTTTGGGTCATCGCCTTGCGAGAAAAAAAGAAGGTACCTCTGCGAGGCATGTTCTCGATAGGAGACATGATTGAACAGAGAATGGGAAGCGATTCCCCCACAGCCGGACGCGTCAAGGCCAAAATTGATGAATATGAAATTTGAACTGGCTCCTGAAGCGGAGGGAGCTTTTGAGGAGAGGGGGGCGGGGGGGGGGGGGGGTCAGCATCTTTCAAATTCTTTCAATTCACCTTCACTACCTACCTATCACTACATTCTTCTCTCAAATTCCTTTTTTGCCTTACACTACCTGCCTACCACTACTGCTAAGTAGAGGGGACCCCTGCAAGCATAGCTACCTCAGAATGCGAAGGGATTACTGCATGTTTGCCCCCCACCCCAACAGCGGTAGTCAGAGATGGGGTGGGGCCGCTGGTGGGGGTCCGGCTAACGCAAAGACCGAGCATTTTGCCAGTAGCTGTGCCTCCCTTTTCATCATCCCCCACCCCCAATCGAATAGCAGTAGTGTCTAAGGGCAACAGTCTCCCACACACCATATTGTCAACCGTGTGGGCGCGGGGAACGCAGCCCTAAGGTAGCCAAATCAATGAGACTAAGAGCTAACACGAGAGAGAGAGAGAGAGAGAGAGAGAGAGAGAGAGAGAGAGAGAGAGAGAGAGAGTTTTGTTCCATTTATTGTTATGAGTGTGAGAGAGAGAAAGAAATAGAGAGAGAGTGTGGCATACTGTGCAGCCACACGGGCCCTGCAGGGCCCGTCCCGGACCTCCAGCCTGTTTCCCTACAGGGAAACTTCAGGGAACTTCCAGGCTCTTGCCTGGAAGCTTCCGCAGGGTCTAGGCCAGGGAGGCATTGGCACAGCCAGCCTCCTGCACGGGCCAGCACTATAAAGGACTGGCCCGCCCTGCAGGAGGTAGTAGTCAGTAGGCACTTGTAGTCTTCAGGATTTCGGCCGCAGCACTCAGGAGGAGCGCTGCAGTAGTCTTCAGCGCTAGGCAGTAGTGGTAGCGCTAGGAGTAGTCTTCGGCGCTGGGCGCCATAGCCATAGTGGTCGTCTTCAGCGCTGGGCGCTATAGGGCAGGGTAGCAGTATCGGAGAGAGACACTGGCGGAGGCCAGTGATACTTACCTGTGGCACCATCGCTCCAGCTCCATCCTCGGTGTACCTGCATCAAGACGCCAGTTTTACAGGTTAGTATTGGACTGAGAGAGGGAGAGAGAGAGACCTTCTTCTTCCTCTTCTAAGTCCACCATCTCTTCTTCCCGTCCCGCTCCCTGCCTCTCAGCATCTATGGGCTACAAGATGGAGCTTTTGACATGGGACATGACGACATTATCATCAGACTTGATTCCGGGATACAGACCTTCGTTGAGGATTATCTGGGACCTGTGACGCAGACTTGGAGTTGATGATATCTCCCATCTTCTCCTCTCCCTCTGTCTCTTCCCTTCCCCCTTCGTCTGTGTATGTTGGGG